TGCAAACCTAGACCAGGGATCTGCAACCGACGGCTCCTGAGCCCTCACTCCCAGCAACGGACCAGATTTAGCCTAAAAGTCATGACTAACTGTATTTTTTTTAAATTTATTTTAGCAGAACTCAAAGATGAATCAATTCTAAACTACATTATCAGCTTACTTGCTAACAGCAGAATAGAACTGTCCTCTTACCTCAAGGTTAAGGTAGATCAGCTGAGGTGACTTCAGGTCACAGTGAGTGATTGTAGTGAGGACCGTATGGACAGAGAAATCGATCTGTCGTCACGAGTGGCACGAGTCGACGTCCCATGAGAAGAGTCAAAAAGTCGAAAGTTGTTTTTTTTCTTTCCCCTCCTTAACGCTCTGATTGGTTGATATTACATCCTCAACTTAAGCAATGATCATAATCACGTCATAAAATGAGCAGTAAAGTTACTCTGTGTTGAAGGAACATTTTAACACATCAAACCAACCATCAGTGACAACAAGTTGAAGTAGTTCCAGTTTCACATTAAGCAAGAAATGAAATTGAAAAACTGACTGGAAAAAAATGACTGTCTTAGAATTCGTCTTATGTAACACCGCGGACATTAAACCAGAAATGAAAAAGAAAAACTGACTAGAAAAAAGTGACTGTCTTAGAATTCTTCTTCTGTAACACCGCAGCGTCCGTCAGGTCAGTCCGACGTGGAGGATGAAGCTGTCACAAAGCCGAGACTGAAGAAGTCAGTTGAGCTGAGAGAACCACTGACTGCTGCGTTAGCTTCGTTATTAAAAGCTACAAAAAAGGAATGTATCGAGAGTGCTCCTTGTCGGACGTGTGTGTGTATGTGCAGCTCCTCCGCTGACGATGTGATGACATCATCAAGTGACGCATCCACTCGACTTCGACTTTATTTATGGGTTTGTTGACGTGAAAAAACTCGTCACCGCTCTAGTGGTTTTTTCCCATTACATTTGGAGGTTCTGTACCAGTAGTCTGGGAGTGTAAACGATCACATGCAGCTCAGTGGATTCCTGACAAAGACACGAGTGCATGTGAAAGGATAAATCAGAGTTTTAACATGTGGTACAACCTTTAATATTTACACTGTATGTCACCATTAAGGGCATCAAAGGAGGAGGAGGAAGAATCAGGCTGTAAACTTTGACCTTAATATTTTCTAAATTCTAAAGTTTTCTACTCTTCTAAAATTGTTTAACGACATATTTAATTTGTTCCACTAACGGAGGAAAAAATAAGAAACAATTGTCCATCATTCAGTACAGCAACACTAGTTTGCAACCAGATCCATCCATTTCTTATTAATAATCCGGGAAGTAGAAAAAAAAAATGCTACCAAAATTAGCTTCATATGACCTGAAGTCCAGAGAAAAAAACCTACAATGTCTCAGCTGATTTAAAGTGACAGTAAAGACATTTTTAAAACATTTCCACCGGGTACTTTTTTTTCAGTCTGTGACATCATAAATCATGACGTAGAGTCTGACAGTAGACCGTACATGTGTGTGTGATTGACATCAACCTGTCGGAGGCGTGAGCCACAGGTGGCGTCCACTCCTACGGTCTCCATCTTCTTCTCTTGTTCTAAATTACACAGTAAATGACATTTTGTTTAGCGGAGACCCCGGGACTATAAACCCGGCAGGAAAATGTTGTTCCCTGACAGCAGAACACTTCCTTTCCGCTTCCACCGCTTGGATTTACGACCACAGTTAGCATCCCCGCGGCTACCTTACATTTCTTTTATACAGTCTCAGCACGTGAGCCAAGACGACAACACGCGGCGTGGTATCACATCAGCATCAGCCAAGTCTGTGCAGCGGCGAACGTTCAGCAGCGTCAACACTGTTTTGTTTTGTTTTTTGCACAGTCACAGTAAACACAGCGTTTGTCGTTGAGCAGAAGAAAAGGAGTCTGAGGCCCAGTCTTCCCCCCAGACGTCCTGCTCTGTTCTCAGGGAGGTCTCTGTTCACGTTAAGATCGGGACTGGAGCGTGAAAGTATATGTTTACCACACTGTAACCAACTCAGTCAAGGAACAAATACACGTTCTGGTCCATTTCTCTGCATGCAAAAACGGTCACAATAAAAAACAGACTTCAGTCGAAATGTAATTTCACATCCATTTAGAAAAGTTGGGAGTTGAAGACTCCCACTGCCGTTGGACAGGCTGGCAGACATTTTTTTTTTTTTTTACCCAAATACACACCCTGGCAGGTTCTTGGGTTTTGAAGCCCCCTCAAA